TTTGCCTGTGCCAAGCTCTCCGCCAGGCATTGATCGGTGTTGCGAATCAATTGAGCCTGATCGACTCTCGCCTGCGACTTCTCGTGTGTCAGTTCATCTCGCAAATTCTCTCGACCCTGGTGAGCTCTCTCGTCGACTTGGTCTATTCTTTTAGTCATGTGCGGTCGCAGTTCTTCCAGGCCTGTCATTACGCCAGCAAACATGTCACTTCAATCGCCAGCCGCCCCAAATGTCGGGGTTAGCCCCAGAGAAGATGAGGTCAACTGCGGTTGCAGCCTGGTACTCGATGACGCACCGCCTTTTTGCTTGCCCATCGACATCATCAATTTGTCGAACGTTGAGGATGCTCCCAGGGTTATCCCATCAGACATGGGCCTGGTCGGCGAAGTGGACAACGCCTTCCTGCTCATGTCGTTCCATGGGCACGGCGTGAAATTCACTTCCGGGTGGGTTATCTCCGGATGGTCATAACTGGAAGATAGACCTTCAGTTTGTAGTGACGCCATGCGCTCATCGTACAAAGACTTCCAGCTTTTCTTGGCCTTCGAACCCGTTTCTTCTTCACTCGGGCTTATACTCGACATCATCGCGTTCATGCTCTGCTTGGCCAGAGATGAGTGGGTATTGGTTGGATGTCAAAGTTCTTTTCTCCACTTATGACTCTTATTCTCTGATTTGGACATTCCCCTGAACAACACTTCCTCTCGCGGCTCGACCTCGGAACGCTCCGAGGCCTCTTCCGTCCTTTCGATTTCCTCCCGTTCGAGGTCCTCACCTGGCTCAAAGTCGGGTCGGATGAGCGTTTGTTCCCCTTCGTCGAAGGAGTCCACAAGTGCCTCGCTCGCCGGTCCGATCGCATCACTTTGCCCTTGACTGCCATCGAGGTTCTTCTCGCTCCTTGGTCTCATTCCGTTCACTGAAAAATCAGCTCGACCTTTAGTCGATTCGTTGTCAGCAAAAACGTCGGAAACGCTGCTAAACGAAGATTGGCTACGACTAGTTTTAAACTTTCGCGTGCTTCCCTTGCTCAGCCTGGGAATCTTAGTAGTCAATCCTAGCGAGTCTCTACGCTTCATACTTTGTAATAAATAGTAATATTTGTACAATTTAATGGCGATGTACACGTACCACAAATAAGTTCAAGTCAATTTACTTAACGCTGCCTACTTGGTTTCGTCAGTATCAAAAATGTCTCTTAGATTCCTCGATGATAATAATTGTGACTCAGCTAAAGTTACACAAAAGGCCTGCTCAGTATTGATAAAATGCTAACACAGCCCCGTTGTTTAGTATAACAGTATCACAATATTTTCACAAGATATAGTCAATACACAAAACACAATTGATAATCAGATAAGAATATCCTACCAGGGACAGCGACTTTTCGTCAGTATCAATTTACCGCCACACTCATATCAGATCACTGTTTTGTTAAAATCAAACAATCTTTTGTAAAAAGGCAGTGATGATTCAGGAATAGATCAATAAGAATTAGTCTTAAAGAACAAGACTTCCCTCAATCGGAACACTCCAAAAGAACGAAGCCCAGGACACTGTCATCTCAAGTGAGTGTGTATTTGCCTAATACACTCACCGGGGTCTTTTTTCAGATGTCCTGCGATTGCCCGAGCTCTCCTATTAAGTAGCTCAAGGCAACCTCTGATCGAAAAATTTCTAAAGTCTATGAAAAAGCTCCACCACACCCGGGACGCCCCAAGTGTACGAGAGCAGGGAACAATTTTTCTTCTCAAATGAATATGTATCTGCCTAAAACACTCACCGGGGTTTTTTTTATGTGTTCCCGGATTGCCCGAGCTTTCCCAATAAGTAGCTCAAGGCAACCACACAACAAAAATCACAATCAAAAAAAAAAATTTTGGATGGGTACTTCTGACAGACCCGATCTAGAATCCAAAGTTGATCACGAATTTCCGGTTCAAATGGGCTCCTGTGATCCTAATATGCACGCCCGTTTTTACTTGACCTTTTATCCCGATCCTAAATGGATATTTTTGTTGCTCAAACTGCCCCAGAAGGTTTCCCTAAGTTTTCAGTAAGGAGGTTTAAGTCACTCCGGAGGGTTACTTCGGAGGGTCCCCTTTAACTCACTAAGGAGGGTCAATAAGATGCTTAATATGCTCCGGAGGGTTACTTCGAAGTGTTCCTTCGAAATTTCAAATTTTCCAAATATCACTTGGAAGGGTCTGCAAGTAGTCCCAGAAGGTGTCAAAACAAGCTAAAATCTCTGTGGGGATTGTTTTAACTTCTTCGGAGGGTCTCGTGGAAAATTTCCACTAAGGAGGATTGCTAAGGAGCTTAGCTGACTCCGGAGGGTTACTTCGGAGGGTTCCCCAAAAATCAAGAAAAAGGGTTATTCTCCGCGGTAAAGCCTCCAAATGCGGTGTAACTGATTTAAAACGAGGTTGGCTGACACGGTTAACCTTCCCAATTGGATGAAAAGATGATCTTAAAAAATTTTCTGCCGCTCGGAGGGTTCCCTAAAATTTGGACCCTCCGAACTAACAAATTCTAAACAATTTTTCTTTTCCGAGATCATCAACCCAAAAACGGTTGCAGTCCGGGAAAGTGAACAAAAATTTCGACTTATGGTACCATAATTATCCCGATTGGTTTGCTAGTATTTGAGAAATTGCCAAAATTGCGTTCGTCTAAATGGCCTTTTTTCACTACCTATTAAGGTTCTGAAAGACTTTTCCCGCAATTCCAGGTGAAAGTGCCTAAAAACAAATGAAACGAGCGTAGTAGCCCCGTACAACACTGGAACAATGCAAAAAACAGGGCCAAAATTGGTTTGAAAACAAAAATTTGGCCAATACCTATCAAATTGGGACCCTCCGATTCCTTCCTTTTCCAATCTTTAAGTCGTTAGCTCAATCCACGGAGCTAATAGGAGGATTACTCAAAAAATTCTCTAATAACCGAGCACGTTAGGTTGGTAGACTCCTAACGCAAAAATTTTTTTGCTATAACTCTAAAAACTCAAAAACTCGATCCCCAAAACGAATGACAAAATTCGGAAAATTATCAAAATTTTGATCGAAAAATTTTGTTTTCGCTTACTTCTACTAAGTCTTTTTCCGTGGTGTTACTATAGTTAGAGGGACCAAACTACGTAGTTACTCCCTGTTTAAAAGCTTTTTGCTGTTCGAAAAAGCTCGGATATCCAAATTTTTGGGTGTCTACAGCTTGGTCGAAAATCAGTAATTTTCGACAAAATTGGGGTGTTTCTCGGGTCTGAATAGGAGATAAGTAATATATAGTAAGGACAGTAACCTTTTAGTAGTCGTTAATGAAAGATACTATACCCTCTTTAAGACCCTTAACTCGGAAATTCGTGATCGATGGTGGGTACAATCGGACCGCACCAATCGTGCTCCCCACCTCTTAAGTTTTGATGAAATAGGACCCGAACGATACTAAAATTGTTTCAACAATAGCCAACAGTCGTTGTGGATGTTGTCCTTGATGTACTTTTTGAGTGTGGAACGCGTCGGTCAGCTTGCCACTCTACCCTCCGGTCACCGGCAAAATCACCATTAACGTGCTTAAATACTCAAATTACACTCAAGGGAGGGTACCCAACCCGTCACCAAAACTTACAACCTTTCTATCAGAAATGATATAAATCAATCTGAAACAACAGCAAATAGGAAGGTAAGATCGCATCTCGTCCGGAAATAACATATAAACTGTCACTTTATGCTTTTACTGTTTTTGGTCTTTTTTGGATTTTTTACTGTTTTTTGTACTTTTTTGTTTTCAAATAAATTTGTTTTTGGCTTTTTCTTGGTTATACACTATTTTTGTTTGGTTTTACGCTTTCTCTTTAATTGTTTTTGGTCCTTGGACCTTGGGACAAGCGGGCTCATGACTTCCCACATAACCTTCCGGCCCCCGGAATTTTCGGTCTTAACTAAGTTAAAAAACTAAATAGTACTAGGCGGAGGGTACGTACCTTCCGCCAGTACAACAAACATCACTAAGGCCTCTTTCTCGGGCATACGACCGGAGAGGAGATTTCGTCGCTGAAACGTTTGCTGTTCATGATGGTCTCATGCCTTTAACAGGCCCACCCATGAGCGCCATAAAAACGTCTATGTAACATTCGCCCAAATACTACACAAGGACGGAGCGTAAAAAAAGTACTTATTAACGACCGGCAGGCGTCATTCAACTTTATTCTAGTCGTTTTTCACCGTTTCGTGTTCTTCCTGTAATAACGTCGTTATTACTTCCAATTAGTGGCACGGGAGGGTACTGCTCAATATTCCTTTCCCACTGAAGCCTACCTTCTCACTATTTTCTTCTGCTAAGTGTCTTATCGTGCGTGATCGTCACGATAAGAGGCTTCTTGTTTTTATCGTTCTCGTGCGACTGTTTTTCACTATATTTGCTGTTCTGACTTTTTCACCTTTTTTCAGTCAGAATGGCCTTTTTTTGTGTTTCTGAGAAATATTCGTTCGACAATCAAAATTTTGAAAATTGAAATTTCTAGATTATTTCTACCCTCCTTCGCAGCTTTTTTCGTCGTTAAGGCCTTTAATCGTTTTTTCGTGTTTGGCCGGAAGGTTGCGCTGTGCCAGTCTGGCAGAATTGCACAAGTCCAAATTAGTTTTCTCCAGGATTTCCCTTACCATCTTTGACTTCGTTTTAATGTTTTACCCCTCATTTTTTCAAAATAGTTTGCCAATACGTTAACGAGGTGATCGTATGAACTACCAGGCTGAGAAACAGTAATGCTTTGAAATGAGGCGTCTTTATTATGCGAAGATTATCTTTTGTTTCAAGTCAAGTCAAGTTTTTTATGACCATTAGGCAGTGCCTCTTATGGTCATTTCAAATGTTTTTTCCTATCCCCGTTCGAAGTCGTACGTGTCAATTCCAATCGCTTTCCAATGTTTGTCCAGTTTCCACTCGAATTCGTCGATGGTCTTGCTTTGCACTATTTCCTGTGGCAGATTGTTCCAGTCGAGAGTGTTTCAGAAAGTGTTTTACTCTTTTGTTTTCAGGTTCTGTACATTGATGGGGTGTATTCAACGCTATGACCCTAAACGGGTGTATTTGATATTTATTTTATCTTTTTGTCTATATATATGGTTCAATTCGGCAAAATGGAGTCTACCGCATTTGAATGAACCCAGCTGCCTTCCGGCTGAGATAAAAACTGGAGCAGGCGAGCTTATATTAAGTAGTGGAAAGAATAATAAACAGTATCTGTTTGTTGTTACTCCTACCTATAACAGAATAACACAATTGCCGGATATGCTCAGGATGAAACAATCATTTTTACTATTAGACAATGTTGTCTGGATTGTGATCGAGGACTCGGGATGTCGGCACTCGGAGGTTTATGAGCTGATAAAAGACTTTCCTCTACTAATCTACATCAATCAAAAGCTATCAGGTGCACCTTCGAGCTATAACAAGGGTGCTCAACAGAGAAATCTGGCTATCAAACTGCTTCAATCTCACTTTTCTTCTTACCATAATTCTGTTGTCTACTTCGCTGATGATGATAACACATACAACTCAATGCTACTGCCGAGACTTTTCAAGACAAAGAACATCTCAGTGTTCAATGTTGGCTTGATCAATGAAGACGTGGAAGGACCAGTATCCAACGATCAAGGCAATTTTGTTAATTGGCGTACAAGATATCCTGGCAAGTTCTTCAATAAAGAAAGGAAGTTTTGTATTGACATGGCAGGCTTTGCTGTTTCAGTCAAGCAGCTCATAGATTCGAATGCGTTATTTGACCCTAAAGGAGTACGGGGCTATCTGGAAACTGATTTTTTAGAAATGTTTCCGATTCAATTGCATGAACTAGAAGTGCTAACTTTTTCCATATCTGAAATTGTAGCATGGCATACCAGAACATCATACATGATTGCAAATCACACTGCAAGTGCGTACGTTTGGTTAGTAATACGAAATGCATTTTATTTCCTTTCGGCATATTTAGTAGCTGTTGTAGTGCTTCATAAATTGAAATTCATGAAAGTTTGATAAGTGTTTTCTTAAGATAATAATTGGTTTTTTTTTAGTGAAAACAGTGTCAATATTTATACCATCTAGAGTTAGTGTTTTGTGGAATGTTTACAATGGTTATCTAATTCTATTCTATCTCATCGATCGTAAACTGCCATCTTCATTTAAATCTTGTAAATGAATAGTTTTTATCCAGTTTTAATTTGTAGAAATTAAATCGCTTACATAACCTCAAAATTGATTACATCATCTCATATTTGAAAACTATGTTTTTCAGAGCCTGTTTGAAATTCTGGTAGATACAATTGTTTGTAATGTTGGTGCTTCAAAAAGAGTGAGCTACCTTTCTGGTTGTCCGAATGTACTTAATGATGTCTTCAGTTGCTAGCACTAACGGAAGCGCTTCATCGGAAAGAGATCCCCAGACTCTTTCGGAGATCTACCACAAACATGTTCTGAAGCAGAGTCACGATAAGCATAGACTAGACCAGGCCAAAGCACAACTGGTAGCCAACGGATCCAAGACGACTGAGTTAGCAGTGGAATATCTGAATGAGGGCATAGCGAGGGCATACTTGAACGAGAGTAGACTGAACGCCATCACTTGTGTTAGCTTCTTTTTGCCATTTGAAAACACTGTTGTTAAATAATTCTGGCACGAAATGAGGTAGTTATACTGTTGACAAATAAACATAGTATATCTTGCGATCATCTAAATACCGAAGTATTTGCTTGTTTTTCCAAAGACTCTTTTGTGATACGCATAGAATCAGAGCGGGTAGTTTTGTTGATGATTTAGGACCTGCAGCTGCAAGTTAGCACTCTGGCCTCTGAGGCAGACAACTGGCTGAAGGTGATGAACAAATTCAACGACTCACTCAAGGCGCTCGGAGATGTGGTCAACTGGACTGCGTGTATTAACTATGACGTCGCACATATCAACCGAACACTGCATAATGTGGCTCATGGCACGATCAATGCAACTGATAGAATATCAGAAGAACGCAGTGAAACTGTAACTGCGGGTACTTCTAATTTACCACAAGATTGAGCATTGTTACCCTTGCGATAATTTAGTTTAAATTAAATAGTTTTTGGATATTTTGTTTTCAATGGACTCAGCAGAGAAAGCATTGACTCTTAACATGATTTTGAAAATCTAATTATGTGCGTCGGTAAAATTTTGAAAACTCTCTGCTTACACTTGAAGGGGTTTTATTCATTCTCATTGCATGGTATCGATGCGAATAGTATGAACAGTTTATGGGGTGATCAAAAGGATATGTGAGGTGATAAAAATATTTAAGATTTGAATTGAACACGTTAAAGCAAGAACGTTATTTTTCGCCTAATGAGCTTTCTTGAAGCTGCTATTGGCCTTAAAGTCAGATTACATTTAGGGTTAAAATGTTATTTTTTTATGAGGTTTCTTCTTTTTGTTTTGTGAGGTTGCCATAAAGTTGTATTACCTTGATCAGACTTAAGTATTTTATACTGCGTGTGCGTATTTGCTGGATTGAAAATATTGGCCTTTAAATCATTCTATCATGAATAGACTTAAGTATTTTATACTGCGTGTGCGTATTTGCTGGATTGAAAATATTGGCCTTTAAATCATTCTATCATGAACAGACTTAAGTATTTCTTACTGCGTGTGCGTGTTTACTGGATTGAAAATCAAAATCTGTATTTTAAATTTTCAAAAATTGTTTTGAAATTTTACTTCGAAAATTTTTTTTTTTTGGTTTGCTAGAGGTTTCAAGCTGCTATTGGCCTTTCAGTCAAATTACCTGGAACAGACATAAGTATTTTATACTGCGTAAAGATATCCAATTTGAGACAATTAACGAGCGATACATTTCGCGCTATTAACGCGCTAGCGGAGATTTAATCCGCGTTAGAAATCGTTCCAAATTGGCTGAAGGAAGCTCATTTGCCATAATTGAATTGTTAGTAGGAGCGAAATCTATTACTTTCTGCTTTATACGGCGTGTAGGGGGATGATTTTGCAAAAAAATCTCAAATTTTATTATTATTTATTTTATTTTATTACACTTAATTTTTTTTTCATGTTATTACTACTCCATAGACCTTAAGAGGCAGTCCGAACATTCAGGGCTTCGCTCTGATACGAGCAGTCTTGTTGTTTTTGTAGACAACTTTGGTCTAATAAATTAGGGTTTGAAGGCATAAAATAGCTCAATTGCTCTTGTTAATTAACTTTGTCTGACCGAATTTCGCTACTAATTATACGTCCTATGTAGGAAATATATTGATGCCTTGAGCTCAAAATAAAAGGCAAGACTGCTCGTATCAGGGCGGAGCCCCGAATGTTCCGTCTGCCTTTTAAGATTTATGGAGCAGTGATAATAAAAAAAATTAAATGTAATGAAATAAAATGAGTTTTTTTTCTAAAATTTGAGATTTTTTGTGATAATCATCGCCCCACACGCCACTTAAAGTAAAAAAAGGATAGATTTCGCTCCTTGTAACAAATCATTTATGGAAATAAGCTTTTTTCAACCAATTTGGAACGATTTTTAAGATAGATTAAATCTCCGCTTACGCGTTAATAGCGCGAAATATATCGCGCGTTAATTGTCCCAATTTGGCCAAAATGACAATGTTTAAACCCCCATAATTTTACAAAAAATGATCACAGGTAAAATATCATTTCAACTTTCCGCTCAGGTCAAGAATACCTTTTGAATGATAAAAAAAAATTTCCGTCAAAAATGGCTAGTTAAAAAGTCGAAATTGTCTGAATAAAAAAACCCACTCCGAGCACAAATATTCCGTTACTTTCGAGATATTTATTTAATACGCGCAAAAATGTCTGTTATCGCGTAGCTGAGAAGTTATTCCAAAATGAGTTGATTTCAGCATTTTTTTTTCCAATATTTTAAACTAGGTGGAGAATAACTTAATATCAATATCGAATGGAGACAATATCGAATGGAAAATTGCGTAAGTTCTTTTTTTTTAAACTCTGCTGCTTTTGGCTAACTTTCTATAGATTCTAGTTTTGTACTCCACGATACTTTTCATCAATATGGATCTATTTTTTTTAAATTCCTGTTGACGCAAGGCTCAAGATAAGGATGGAGTAGGCCTGTTGGCCAGATATAAAAGATTGGGAATTTTGACATTTTGTTCAGGTGAACAACTTGTGTTACAAAATCATTGGTAACAGCACGTGTACTGCATGAACGTGCTGACATGTTCAATGTCTTTAATTGAAATCCTTGTGTTCCTTGGCAATAAACTGATTCTTTTAAAAATGAAAAAATTGATAGCACAATACAGAAACAATTGCAGAAATTGTGATTAAAAAAAATTGCTATTCATTTTTTGATGCCTTGAAAAATTACACTAAATTAAAGAAAACAAAAGAAAACATTTTTTTGTTGTTGTTTTTCTTTTTAACGTTGTCGGAATGTTCTGTGCTACTTGCACAGCAACCGGCTATCCTTTTTCTATTCGGCTTTGTCTAGTTATGCTACCATATTTGGTTGCGTCCCATAGCATATCAAGAACGATTTCTCCGATACGAAAGTGTTTGTGAGAAAATAGTGTTTGTTTATATGCTAAGTATGATCTTTGTTTGCTACCAACTCTAAAGTGTTTTGTGGCCAAACAGTGACGGTTTGGGCTTACCCTTAAAATTTGAGATTTCAATATGAGTGTGAATTTCAGATTGTAATAATATATATAAGACTTATGGCGACCCAGAAGGCTTTAAATTTTGTTACTATTACGTCCTCTATGAGACCTGGACGGATGAGTGACAGAGTGTTGGCTGTAGCTCTCAAGGCCATAAAAGAACAGGGCCATGATTATACAGTTATGGGTATGTAATTTTGTGTGGCTTGTTCAATCATCAAAGTTGGTTCTTAAGAAATAATGGGTCTCTGAAGAATTGAGTTCCCATGTTCATTTGTTTTCACTATTTTTTCAAAATTTTCTCAAAAATATGACGACACCCAATTCATTTTTGCACCGCTTTGGGATTCTACATTTTTCTGTGCCCTCTTTTACTTTTTTGTTTTGTTTAAGATCCCAAGGAACTCAATTTCCCAATGTTGGAAAGACCGATTCATTGGTATCCAAGTAAAACTCAGGTATGATACAGTTTTCAGTACTGTCAACACAAACTTGTAGTAATCATATCTAAGAGATTTTTGTATCTAGGCACCCCAATGGCTCCAAGATGCAGAAGCTACGATGCTGAGCGCGGATGCTTTTCTCTTTATATCTGGAGAATATAACAGGTGTGTCCCACCTGCACTAGCCAACATCATCAACCACTTCGGACCAAATGTTTTTTCTGCTAAAGCGGCTGGAATCATTTCTTACTCTCTCGGTTAGTGTTGAAAACCGCTTAAAGATCTTCTGATTTCTTAATTGTTTAATTGCTCATGGAAGTTAAACTTATTTGGTCTAACGACTTGTTTTGGTTAGATTTGAAGGTAGGTGCGCAATTATTTTGATTACGATGCTTGAAGTGGTGTTATTTTTCATTGCTGTGCTTGAAAGTTTGCTTCTTGCATCCTGGTTATTTACAAATGGCATGGTTATCAGTTCTGAATCTTATAATTAATTGTCAGTCGTTTTCTACTGCTGTGGGCGCCATGTTTAACAGCTCGCTACATGTAACGCTCAAGAAATTGATTTAAGTACACAATTTAAAATTTCAAGATAAAGCTAGCATGTAAAGGTCAAGGGCAAATATCTAGACAGATTGTCTTGAACTTTTGAGCGCAAAGCAAGGCAGTGCAATGCAAGGTTAGAGAAGGCAGCTTAATGATAGGCAGGGCAGGCCAAAGCAAGAAGGGGCAGGGCAATGAGGGGTAGACAGTGAGGGCAGCGTAAGGCAGGGCAGCGCAAGGCAAGAATGGGCTGGGCACTGTAAGGCATGGCAGCACAAGACAAGGAGAAGCATGGCCTGGCTGCACAAAGAAGAGCAGCGGGCCGCAGCGCAGCGTGAACAAGGCAGACTAGCGCAAGGCAAGGTAAGGAAAGGCAGAACAGCGCAACACGGCAAAGCAGCACGGCAGCGTCAAGAGGGCAAGGCAAGGACTAGCATGGCAGCGCAAAATAAGGCAGAGCAGCGCAGCACAAGGCAGGGCAGTACAAATCATGGTAGCGCAAAGAAAGGGAGTGCAGGGCAAGGCATGGGGGCAGCAAAGGCAGCATGGGGCAGCGGTAGAAGAGACGAGGCAGGGCCAGGAGCATGGTAGGGCAGTGCGAAGCAAGGCAGTGCATCTCATGAAGGCAAGGCAGCGAAGCAAGAGCCAAGGCATGGTAAAGCAAGGTCGGGAAAGGATTAGCATGGCAGGGCACCGCAAAGCAAGGCCGAGCAGCGCAAGACAAGGCAGGGTACCGCAACGCAGGGCAATGCAAGTCAGGGCAGCGCAGCTCAAACAAGGCAGGACAGAGCAAGGCAGGGTAGGTCAGCGCAAGTCAAGGTAGGGCAAAAACGTGCATAACAGGGCAGCGCGAAGCAAGTAAGAGCAGCACAAAACAATCCAGCGCAACACAGGGCAAAGAAAGGGAGCGCAGGGCAAGGCATGGCAGCACAAAAAAAGGGAGCGCAGAGCAAGGCATGGCAGTAAAAAGAGAGGCAACACGGGGCAGCGGTACAAAAGACGAGGCAGAGCCAGGAGCATGGTAGGGCAGTGCGAAGCAAGGCAGTGCATCGCATGAGAAGGTAGGGCAGAGCAAGGCAAAGCTGGCTAATTATTAAATGAAGATCTTCTTTATGGCAGTTTTGACTATACAGCTCCCCCTGATAATTATAGCCCCCTGATGGTTAAATCACCGCGTATCGGGGTTATTTTCTTCTGTTGCTGAGCGTAGGGTTGCATATGCGATAAAGGGTGCATAGTCGATATAGGGGTCCCAATAAAAGCTAAGGGTCTCCCACTCTAGATACTGCCACAGTTTAAGTCATTTTTTGCTTCAATGATATCAATTGAACTGTCGATCAAGTTAAAACAAAAAAGCGATAAGTTATGGTGGAAAAATCAGAGGAAAATCATCTGGTGATGTCTATTGAATTACCGAGCTAAGTGCTTAAATGCTACTTAAATGCTCATTATTTGTTTTGCGCGGGACGACTACTCTTGCGTACTTTTCTAACAGGGCCTACTCTATCAAATTTAGAAGATTAGTAGGGGGAATCTACTTGACACAATCTTTTTCTGGAGGAGCCCCAAGAGCAATCGAACAAAATTATCATGTTTCAACTCGTTTTTGGTTGAATTTTTGCTTGAGTTTTTCCAACTTTTGCAAAGTCACTCAAAATATTAAAGCAATTTAAAACAGTTCAAAGTTCAATAAAATGATAGCTTGCATCTGATTTTTTAAGGCAAACTGAGTAGCAGAACGATAGATCGTAAAGATAAACTAATTTCTATCTCAGAAATTTTTAAAAAATTATTTCGCATTTTTCTGATGATGATACTTCATTTAAAGAGATAAGAGTTATCTTATTGCTGCTCCGTTAAACTTGCTGCTGAACATATATTTTTAAAACGACCGGATCAACTTTGCCTAACCTTTTCAGTAAAAGTCAAAACTTTGAAGATAGTTTGAATTTGGCGATCGGATCAACTTTGCCTAACCTTTTCACTAATAGTCAAAACTTTGAAGATAGTTTGAATTTGGCGATATATTTCTGTGCTTAAACTTTTGAAACTTTTACGGTGAAGAAGCTTTTACATTGGAAGATTTTTGTCAGATGCATTTAAGTAGTTTACTTGTAAATAATCAATTTTTGTATCAAACTAAATTAAAACTATTCGTGTTTCAATTTCTTGAATAGCTTGCAACATAGAGCCAACGCTTTGATTTAATTCAAGCCAGCAGAAGCCATTTTTCAAAGTCCCAGTTACTGAAAAAGTTGAAGAATGCTCGGTTGGGTTTCATGGCAGGATAGCTTGCTTTTTTTCTTCCTTGAATCATTTTTTTTGATCCGTCAAAGCAAATTGAATTGGTTTTAAGATTGATCGCTCGAATATTCACTTCCAATTAGCTCAACATTTTGCGAACCAATGAGAGCTATCAAAACAAATTGGAATGTGTCAAGTTGTCAGTAATTGAGTTGCTTGCCTCAAAAAAACTTTCTTTTGTTTGCGAGTTGATTCCGACAATCAAATTAGCATATTATTTTTCAAGATTTCAAAAGTTTACTTGAATTTAAGATTTTGAAACTTCTTGCGAACCAATGTTAGCTATCGAAGTAAATTTGAATGTTTCAATTTTTGTAATTTGATAGCTGGCTCTACAAAATTTTTTCACTTCTTTCGTCGAACACATTTTTGCAAATCTATCAAACTACTTAAAAGCAAAAAGCTCAAAAGCTACTGGCCAGCAAAGAACTTAAAAGCTTGCTTCAGTCTTCTGTAAGTTGAAGCACGCCATTTTAGGTAATCAGATCAAACTGAAGTTTGAAGTTTCATCGCTTGAATAGCTTAGCTGACTTCAGAAAATTGAATTTCAATTTTGCAAAGAATTTAAGCCATCAAAACACCTTCAAAAGTTTCGTTTGTTGGTGTGATAGTTTGCTGTAAAAACCTTAACTAATTTTTTGTGAGCCCTTGCAAGCTATGCAAACAACTTGGTTTGTTCAAATTTTCTTTGCTTCATTAGAGTGCTTCATAAATTCACAATTTTTACTAAATTGTTCATGCCATCAACGTGAAATGAAATCAAATCCTAATATGTTGCTACTTTCTAGGTAATGGAGGTGCAAACGTCAGATTCTCTCTTGCTCCGATGATCCAGGAATTGGGAGGCATGCCTACGCCTGCGCAATGTTGCATAAATTTTGTGAGTAAGAAGCTGAATGAGGAGGGAGAGTTCCAAGAGCCTGACTCAACTGATGCCGCTGCCATTGCGAGCAAAGTGCAACGAGTGGTGAAACAGACAGCCTGGTACGCAAGTGCATTCATAAATCACAGAAGGGATTTTGGAGATCTCCCAAATTAACGAACAGTTGAAAACACCCGTTATTGTTATCGGAAGGAATTCTTGCTTTTGTATATTGTTATGAAGACCGAGCAGGTCGTGGTAACTTTTTTCTCGCTGACTGAATCATTTATAACTTCTCAAGTTAATAGCTGCACAATCTGACCTTTCTATTTGCTTTGTACTGCTGATTATTTTCAAGTAATCTGCTGCTGTTGTAACTCATGCTAATCAAGAAATATTTTCACTAAAGATTTCTTTTTGTAAAATGTCATATCTTGTAGAACTTTTAAGTTAAATTTAATTAAATTATCGAGGTTTTCTGAATTGCGAGTACACTATTTTAATACAGGAAGGTAATTAGAGTTTCGCACAAAGTTTTTTTCAACTTAGTGTCGTTTTTTCTGCGTGGTGTGATAGTAGGATCTGAACGAAAAACAGAACAATTTTTCTCGGACAATGAGGTTTTATAATAACACCTAACGCATACGACGCGTTTTTCGCTTTAGGCGGGTTTATGGATAATTTTGAGTTGGTACAATGGTCCAGTGTGTAACTTTTTGCTAGATTGTGGAGGCTTCTTTGTCATGAGAATGTAATAAAAATGAGAATGTAACAAGAGTCACCACTCGCCCTGAACAAAGCACAGAAAATTCAAACTGCAGTCATGATTGCTAAATTTAAAATCAAGAAAATCTATAACTAATCTAGAAATAAGTTTGAAATCTTTTCTTTTTTGCTGAATTAAGCAAAAGTTTTTTTTTTAACTTGCGAGAGCCACGGAATCGGGAACTAGACTTTTTCCAATAATTTGTAAACAAGTTTTCTTATAAATCTGTGAGACATTGAACTTGTTTTTTTCGGGATCTTTAGGTCTGAATGTTCGAATCCCGCGCGGACCTTTTTTTGTTAAGTATTAATTTGAATTTTGTTCCGGGAAATTTGAAATATTAGGACTAGCGTTTGTCTGCTTAGTTTTTGTTTCCTTAATTGTCTATCAATTAAATTTTTTGATGTAACTATTTTTTTATAGTTTTAAATTCGTTCTAATTCTAAACAGAATTTCAATGCGTTCATTTTTTCCCTGATATGGATTTGGTTGGTGTTTTTTGACTTGGTATGTTTTTGTCTGTTTCATAAGAATTGGGGTGTTAAAACGTTGAGTTTTGAAACGGAATGGTTAAAATTTTGATAACAAAGATTGTCTTGATAGCATTTTTTGATTGAGTAATTGCTCGATAAAAGCGATAGTGAATGCTTAAGTAACTCTAGTGATTTTGTTTTGCGGCTGTATTTACTGTGAAATTGAATATCAGTCGCGTTGGAGATGTGAAACTTTTGTAGATGTTGTTTTTTCCATTTATGATTTCTTGACTCAGTGCTTTCCGTTCAATTTTCTATTCGTAAGCTGACAATGCAAGGTTTCATTTGTATCGCAAGTGCTGCGAGTATCCGCTTCGGTTCTGTTTTCAAGTTGAGAGATAAATTGAGGGTTACTTTTGAAAGTGTGAAAATGGTTTTTTGTTTTATCAGACTTGAACCCTAGGGCTTTTTTTGAGTTAAATGAAATCCGGTAGAAAATCCACCATACTGCATAGTCCCATTCTTTCCAGGGTGATCGGAACAGAAACTGGCCACTGTGCAAGAGGCTCGGAGTGGTCTAGGCGCAGTCATCATTGCAAATAATAAAGCTTAACAACGAACAAAAAATGGATTTAAAAAACCTAAAATGGATTTAAAGTCCTTTAAAATGATTTATCACTCAACAACATCTGACGTTTGTTTGTTACCTGACCTTGTGTGAAAAAAAAACACGCGCAGGTCAAAAAAAATTTTCCCCGCATCTCGGGGTGAGTGGAAGATAATGCTCATTTTGTAATTTTTTGTCATACTTTCGGTGACAATTGTATCAAACTGTCCTTCTGTCCAAGTTGTTGATAGATGTGTCTGAAAGATAGCTGTGGAGGGATGAACATTTTCAACAATGTGTTCTCTTAGCTGAGTTTTTTGTTTCTGTTTTTAGCTGAGTCTATTTCGTTTAGCTGAGTCTATTTCGTTTAGCTGAGTCTATTTCGTTTAGCTGAGCCTATTTCGTTTAGCTGAGTCTATTTGGTTTAGCTGAGTCTATATCGTTTAGCTGAGTCTATTTCGTTTAGCTGAGTCTATTTCGTTTAGCTGAGTCTATTTCGTTTAGCTGAGTCTATTTCGTTCAGCTGAGTCTATTTCGTTTAGCTGAGCCTATTTCGTTTAGCTGAGTCTATTTCGTTTAGCTGAGTCTATTTCGTTAAGCTGTGTCTATTTCGTTTAGCTGAGTCTATTTCGTTTAGCTGAGTCTATTTCGTTTAGCTGAGTCTATTTCGTTTAGCTGAGTCTATTTCGTTTAGCTGAGTCTATTTCGTTTAGCTGAGTCTATTTCGTTTAGCTGAGTCTATTTAGTTTAGCTGAGTCTATTTCGTTTAGCTGAGTCTATTTCGTTTAGCTGAGTCTATTTAGTTTAGCTGAGTCTATTTCGTTTAGCTGAGTCTATTTCGTTTAGCTGAGTCTATTTCGTTTAGCTGAGTCTATTTCATTTAGCTGAGTTTATTTCATTTAGCTGAGTCTATTTCTTTTAGCTGAACCTATTTCGTTTAGCTGAGTCTATTTCGTTTAGCTGAGTCTATTTCGTTTAGCTGAGTCTATTTCGTTAAGCTGAGCCTATTTCGTTTAGCTGAGCCTATTTCGTTTAGCTGAGCCTATTTCGTTTAGCTGAGTCTATTTCGTTTAGCTGAGTCTATTACGTTTAGCTGTGTCTATTTAGTTTAGCTGAGTCTATTTCGTTTAGCTGAGTTTATTTCATTTAGCTGAACCTATTTCGTTTAGCTGTGTCTATTTAGTTAAGCTGAGTCTATTTCATTTAGCAGAGTCTACTTCTTTTAGCTGAGTCTATTTCGTTTAGCTGAGTCTGTTTCGTTTAGCTGAGTCTGTTTCGTTTAGCTGAGTATGTTTCGTTTAGCTGAGTCTGTTTTGTTTAGCTGAGTCTATTTCGTTTAGCTGAGTCTATTTCGTTTAGCTAGTCTATTTAATTTAGCTGAGTCTATTTCGTTTAGTTGAGTTTATTTCGTTTAGCTGAGTCTATTTCGTTTAGCTGAGCCTATTTTATTTAGCTGAGTCTAATTCGTTTAGCTGTGTCTATTTAGTTTAGCTGAGTCTATTTCGTTTAGCTGAGTTTATTTCATTTAGCTGAACCTATTTCGTTTAGCTGTGTCTATTTAGTTAAGCTGAGTCTATTTCATTTAGCTGAGTCTACTTCTTTTAGCTGAACCTATTTCGTTCAGCTGAGTCTATTTCGTTAAACTGAAACTATTTCGTTTAGCTGAGTCTGTTTCGTTTAGCTGAGTCTATTTCGTTTAGCTGAGTCTATTTCGTTTGGCTGAGTCTATTTCATTTAGCTGAGTTTATTTCATTTAGCTGAGTCTTCTTCTTTTAGCTGAACCTATTTCGTTTAGCTGAGTCTATTTCGTTAAACTGAGTCTATTTCGTTTAGCTGAGTCTATTTCGTTTAGCTGAGTCTATTTCGTTTAGCTGTGTCTATTTCGTTTAGCTGTGTCTATTTCGTTTAGCTGAGTCTATTTCGTTAAACTGAGTCTATTTCGTTTAGCTGAGTTTATTTCATTTAGCTGAGTCTATTTCGTTTAGCTGAGTCTATTTCGTTTAGCTGAGTCTATTTCGTTTAGCTGAGTCTATTTCATTTAGCTGAGTTTCATTTAGCTGAACCTATTTCGTTTAGCTGAGTCTATTTCGTTAAACTGAGTCTATTTCGTTTAGCTGAGTCTATTTCGTTTAGCTGAGTCTATTTCGTTTAGCTGTGTCTATTTCGTTTAGCTGAGTCTATTTCGTTTAGCTGAGTCTATTTCGTTTAGCTGAGTCTATTTAGTTCAGCTGAGTCTTTTTCGTTTAGCTGAGTCTATTTCGTTTAGCTGAGCCTATTTCATTTAGCTGAGTCTAATTCGTTTAGCTGTGTCTATTTAGTTTAGCTGAGTCTATTTCGTTTAGCTGAGTTTATTTCATTTAGCTGAACCTATTTCGTTTAGCTGTGTCTATTTAGTTAAGCTGAGTTTATTTCATTTAGCTGAGTCTACTTCTTTTAGCTGAACCTATTTCGTTTAGCTGAGTCTATTTCGTTTAGCTGAGTCTATTTCGTTTAGCTGAGTCTATTTCATTTAGCTGAGTTTATTTCATTTAGCTGAGTCTATTTCTTTTAGCTGAACCTATTTTGTTTAGCTGAGTCTATTTCGTTAAACTGAGTCTATTTCGTTTAGCTGAGTCTATTTCGTTTAGCTGAGTCTATTTCGTTTAGCTGTGTCTATTTCGTTTAGCTGAAGCTATTTAGTTTAGCTGAGTCTTTCGTTTAGCTGAGTCTATTTCGTTTAGCTGAGTCTATTTCGTTTAGCTGAGTCTATTTCGTTTAGCTGAGTCTATTTCGTTTAGCTGAGTCTATTTCGTTTAGCTGAGTCTATTTCGTTCAGCTGAGTCTATTTCGTTTAGCTGAGCCTATTTCGTTTAGCTGAGTCTATTTCGTTTAGCTGAGTCTATTTCGTTAAGCTGAGTCTATTTCGTTTAGCTGAGTCTATTTCGTTTAGCTGAGTCTATTTCGTTTAGCTGAGTCTATTTAGTTTAGCTGAGTCTATTTCGTTTAGCTGAGTCTATTTCGTTTAGCTGAGTCTATTTCGTTTAGCTGAGTCTATTTCGTTTAGCTGAGTCTATTTCGTTAAACTGAGTCTATTTCGTTTAGCTGAGTCTATTTCGTTTAGCTGAGTCTATTTCGTTTAGCTGTGTCTATTTCGTTTAGCTGAGTCTATTTCGTTTAGCTGAGTCTATTTCGTTTAGCTGAGTCTATTTAGTTCAGCTGAGTCTTTTTCGTTTAGCTGAGTCTATTTCGTTTAGCTGAGCCTATTTCATTTAGCTGAGTCTAATTCGTTTAGCTGTGTCTATTTAGTTTAGCTGAGTCTATTTCGTTTAGCTGAGTTTATTTCATTTAGCTGAACCTATTTCGTTTAGCTGTGTCTATTTAGTTAAGCTGAGTTTATTTCATTTAGCTGAGTCTACTTCTTTTAGCTGAACCTATTTCGTTTAGCTGAGTCTATTTCGTTTAGCTGAGTCTATTTCGTTTAGCTGAGTCTATTTCATTTAGCTGAGTTTATTTCATTTAGCTGAGTCTATTTCTTTTAGCTGAACCTATTTTGTTTAGCTGAGTCTATTTCGTTAAACTGAGTCTATTTCGTTTAGCTGAGTCTATTTCGTTTAGCTGTGTCTATTTCGTTTAGCTGAAGCTATTTAG